GGTGGTGGACCCGCGGGCGGCGAGGTCGCCCCCTCATCTCCCGCGGATCATTGGCCATTGGCATCCGCGGGGGCAGGTTGGCAGGCGCCCCGTGCACGGCAGCTCCGGCCCCTCACCGACCCCACGGGTGGACGAGAGCGGGGTGCTGGAGCCTGTCTTGGTCTATGATGCAAAGGGTCCCCCGCCAGGGGTCCGACCGCTCCAAGCGCAGGAGGTTTGGCACTTGCGCGGAGGGTCCAGTGCCGACTGGCTCGCACTTTGTGGGCAGTTGAGCCACGGGGATTTGCTGAGGGGAGTCCTGCGTGCGTGCCCCCCGCGTGCAGCCGCGGCTGCGCTAACAGCGGCCCTCAGGCAAGCGGAGGTATCCACCGAGTCAGGAGAGAGGACGGCGGGCATCTGCCGCCGCCCAGAGGACGAGGGGAGACGTCGGGAGCTCACGAGCTGGCTCCAAGCTGACGAGAGGCGACGGCAGGAGACTGTGGGGAGGCGTGAGCGGCACGGTGGCATGCTGCCAGGGGAGCGAGCGCAAAGCTTGCTCGACGACCCCTACCCCGATGTGATCCTACTGCGAGTGGGACGCGACCCAGATGGAGGACCGCAGTGCTGGAACCAGTGTGGGAGGAGCTGCGCTCGCTTGGAGCACGACTGGGGCTGGTACTGCTGTCGGACATGCCGTGACACGGATGGCGACACCCATGGGCCGTACTGTCAGGCACGACACGAAGACCTCCAGAGGAGGCAGAAGGAGGCTGGCCACCGCCCCCCAGCGGGCGAGGAGGCGAGTGGCAGCGGCGGTCCAGGAGCCCAGGCAGCAGGCGAGGAGGCTCCGAGGCACCCGCCGCCCAAGGCGGCGCCGGACGGCCGCCTCCCACCCATCTGGGAGGAGCAGCGGCCTGCGGTGGTGAAGGCGCCGCCCAGGACGGCCAGGGAAGGCCGGCAGCACGAAGGTCCACCCGCTGGAGGGGCGCAGGGCCCGCTGGTGGGTAGCGGAGGAGACCCACTGGCCACCAGGAGCCGGCATGCGGGAGGTTCAGAGGATGAGAGCTGGGGCCCCTGGACGGCCACAGGGCGACGCGTGGTTGCCGAAGGCGTGGGAGAGGGCGCCAGCGGTGCGGATCAGGCCCCACCCCCCCCAGAGGCGAGGGAAGCCTTGCGGCCGTGCCGGCTCCCAGGGTGCCCCTATTTGGAGCACTCCCAGCCCGCGACGGCAGTCGACGGGGGAGCACTGTGGCGGCCAGGGTTCTGCTGCAACAAGTGCGCAGGGCGGTCGGAGGGAGCGGACTGGGCAGAAGGAGGCGCGAAGCACTTCAGACACTGTGAGAAGATGCCCCACGGCCAGCCACCCCCAGGTGGGGAGGGGCCGTCAGAGACCGCAGCAGCAAGTAAGAAGCGCAAGCAGGAGCGCAAGCAAGAGATTGCAGCGGCTGCCGCCCGGGTGCTGGCCGCCGCTGCGTTGGCTGCCCCCCCTGCGGGGTCTGAGTCCGGGGCCGCGGAGGAGCAGGGCGAGGAGAGCGGCAGCGGAAGTCTGAGCGAGGAGTGCCCCCCCCCGTCACCAGGGGAGCTCGCCCGGCGGGCACGTGCGGAGCGAGGGGCTGCCCGGCAGAGGAAGGCGGAGGCAGAGCGGCCCGAGGATGGGGCCGGGCACCCCGGTGCGGGGCAGGCGGAGTACATCCACCTAAGGGCGAAGACCCCGCCTGCACCAGCAGCGGTCAAGCAGGAGGAGAGGTCGGAGGAAGAGCCCCCGGCAGAGGTTGCGCGGGCGGTCGGTCAGACTTACCGTGCGCTCGCTAGGCGGGTAGAGTTTCAGAGGACAGGGCTTTGGTCCGCACCAGAGGAGGAGGACCGCCCAGGGGGAGGGCCGCCGGGGTGGAGACGTCGGTGGTCCACCCTCGGCCTGGCCGAGAGCCACTCCCGCAGCCAGAGGGGCGGGCCGACCGCGAGCCGCTGCCCCAACCAGGAAGTTGGGTGCCCCCTTCGGGGGAGTCGAGTGGGTCCCGCGGGCTGGAGAAGCGGCCGCAGCCCCCTGGTCACCGGGCGGAGGAGGACCCGCTCAGGCCTGGCGGACCGGCACGTGCTGCCGAGGCCGTGAGGGACCTCAACTCACCTGAGTCCTACTCGGAGGAGGACTATGAAGAGACAGAGGAGGAGGCCGAAGCATTTCGGCCGGTTCCTTTCCCAGGAGGCGGCCCAGACGCCCGCTATGCGTGGTGTGAGTACTGCGGTGTGCAGGGCGAGGGCCGGGACACGAGCTGCCCGATGTGCAACAAGCCCTACCCCATTTCGATGGCCAAGGACCGGTTGGCGGCAGCGCAGAGGGCAGCCAAGGCAGGGAGTGCCGCCGCGGTCGCCCCCCGGCACGGGGGAAGAGAGGAGTGCGAGCGTGAGGAGGTGGCGCGGCGTGCGGCACCGGAGGCTGGACCGCCCGAGGACATCGACCCGGAGGCGGTGAGCCGGTACCTGGAAGCGGCAGCGGGCAGCGGACAGGGCAGCGAAGGGCTCGAGCGGCAGCTCAGGCGGATCGCCAGGGAGGACTCCAGGCGGGCCGGCGGGCGTGCCGATGCTGGGTACGCGCCAGAACTCCAGAGGTTGGTAGACGCAGCCGTGGTGGCTTCGGTGGCAAAGGGGACGAAGGCGACCTACGGCGTCGCTTGGAGGCAGTGGACGACGTTCTGCCGGATCCGCAGGAGGTCGCCCATCCTGCATGGCGAGACTCGTGAAGAGCGTCACCAAGACGAGGAGGAGCTGCTGCTATTCATGGTGCACCTGTACAACAGCCTGAAGCGGTCGCACGGGACGATACGGTCAAAGTTGCTGGGGATCCGTTCACACCACGTGATGCTGGGTGAGCCTGACCCCTTGGCGGGTAAGCCGCGGCTGTGGATGGCGTTAAATGGGATAGAGAACTGGCAAGGGCCCGGAAAGAGGAAGCTCCCGGTTACGACCAAGATGCTGAAGAGAATCCGAGACATGCTGAAGCCAGACACTTGCGCGGACGACGCGGCCTTGTATTTCTGCGTGATCTTCGCCTTTTTCTTCATGATGCGGATTGGGGAGTACGCCCACTCGGGGCACTGGGATTTGAAGAAGGTCTTGACCGGGCTGGACATTGCCCCGAAGTGCAAGGGCGAGCAGGTGAGCCACTTCGCTGCCGCGGACGAGGTGGTGCTGTGGTTTAAGGCGTCGAAGGCGGACCAGAAGGGAGCAGGGCAGGCGAGGAACCACTACCGCTCGAACGACCCGTTCGGCATCTGCCCGGTGTGGGCGGCGGAGTGCTACAACCGTTGGTTCCCGAGCCGTATCGCGGGCAAAGAGGCACATTTACCACTTGCGAGGTGGGAAGACGGCAGCCCGATCACGCGGGAGCGTATCCAGGGCTTGCTTCAGAAGGCGGCGGCGCTGGAAGGCTATCCACCCGACAGGTTCAAGAGCCATTCGCTTCGAATCGGCGGAGCGACGGCCCTGTACCACTGCTTCCAGGACACGGAGCTGGTCAAGCGTTGGGGGCGGTGGAATAGCGGAGCCTTTCACCAGTATCTGTGGGAGGCGAATGAGGACGCTGCTGGAGTGTCAGAGGCGATGGCGAAGTCCGTCGCAACCTTGCACGTGGGGTACAAGGTGGAAGTGGCGGGAGATGGACCAGCCTCTGAGGTGAAGGAGAAGCCGGCGGCCTGAGGACAATAGCAGGAGTGCGAGTTTTGAGCTATGGCGTGTCACCACTGGAGGGGCCGATGCTGGATTGTGCGCAGTCCTGGGGCAGCGGCCTGGGGGCAGTGGTGACCCCCAGGATCGGCGTAGGCGAGGAGAGAAACCCCGGGGCGTCCCGCCAGTGCGGTCCCCGGGAGAGTTGGAGGAGGAGAGATGGTGGAGGGACGGGGCGTCCCGCCAGTGCGGTCCCCGAGGAGTGAGGAGTGTGAGAAGTTGGCCACGCGCGGCGCAGCAGAGACGCCCAACTGCGAGCCCCATTCGGCACCTCCCGCAAGTCACGGGCGCCGAGGGGTAAGTAGCTGGGTGGCCGTGGGGCCGCCAGCCGGCGGCACAGCTAGGCCTCTGCCGAGGCGTAGCACTGAGAGGAGGAGGACGGCGTGCGCCTGATGTCGCCAAAAGGTGCGCGCGTCCGCTGCCTCCGCTTTTTTCTTTAGTGAGCCCGAACAGTGCTTGTGCTCGTTGCGTCGCCCCGTCGCCTCGGGCTCTCACTGTTTGGTTTTCTGCCAGGCACCTTCTCACTTAAACGTGAGAGTTTGAGCATGCGTAAAACGTAGGGTTTCAGGGAGTAAGTGCCTGGTGAGGGGGAAGGGTCTCTCCTGCTCTCCGTCCCTTTCCCCCTCCGCGGCCCATTTGGGGCTCAAGTTTCCTTCTCGGGCCCTTCCCTCCCAGGCCCTCCCTGGCCCTTCGTAGGTCCTTTTCCCCTTTTTTCGGCCTTGACCGCATTGCGGTTCGGGCCGTGGGGCCGCCAGCCGGCGGCACAGCTAGGCCTCTGCCGAGGCGTAGCACTGAGAGGAGGAGGACGGCGTGCGCCTGATGTCGCCAAAAGGTGCGCGCGTCCGCTGCCTCCGCTTTTTTCTTTAGTGAGCCCGAACAGTGCTTGTGCTCGTTGCGTCGCCCCGTCGCCTCGGGCTCTCACTGTTTGGTTTTCTGCCAGGCACCTTCTCACTTAAACCTTGTTCTTGTGCTGGCACAGGGCCCCCTCAGGGCAGACGGGCATGTCCAGCCGCATCTCCCTCCCTCCCTCCCTCCCTCCCCCTCCCCCTCCCCCTCCTCCCTCCTCCTCCTCCTCCTCCTCCTCTCCTCCTCCTCCTCCTCCTCCTCCTCCTCCTCCTCTCCTCCTCCTCTCCCTCTCCTCCTCCTCCTGCTCCTCATCCTCATCCTGCTCCTCCTCCTCCTCCTCCTCCTCCTCCTCCTCCTCCTCCTCCTCCTCCTCCTCCTCCTCCTCCTGCGCACAGCCTGAGGCGCCACAGAGTCTATGACACCACAGCCGTCAGATGGCGTGGCTGAGGGCACACCTTACAACCGCCCTCAGCCACGCGCTTCGGACAGGGCCCGCATGGGCCAAGCTCCTGCCGCGAGGCTACACCTCGGGCAGAGGGGACTGCGCACGGCCAGACCGCCAGCGCGCACGGGAGGGCAGTGCGGGACCAGCAGAAAGCGGGTCACAGCACGAGCCCGTCGAAAGAAAGAAAAAGAGAGGGGAGGGCGGGCCGAGGGCCACGGGGCGATCTCCCTTACTGGGAGGATCCCCTATGGCCAACGACCTGCCCCCCAGAGCGCGACCCCACGGTGGGGTCGGGCTGTTCCTGACCATGAACATCGAGAGCATCGGGCAAAACGTTAGGAGGAGGACGAGGGCGGCCACTGGCAGCTGCCAGCAGCCGCTGAACAATGGCAGCACGCTCTGCCTCCGTGCGCTGCGTGCGCTGCTTGCGCACAGGCACGGCGGTGTCCGAAACAACTCCTCCGCCCCCGCTCAACGACGTCGACGGCGCGACACCACCTTCCTCCGCTAGAGCAACAGCACTGCCAGCAGACCGCTGGGGTGCCTCCGAGGTGGCCACGCCAGCCTCCAGCTGGGGTGCTGCCGAGGCGCTAGCCACCGTAGCAGGCTCAGAGAGACTTTCCCCTCCTCCACCGCTAGCCAACGACGACACGTCAAGGCCTCCTTCCTCCGAGATGGCGCCAGCACCCACACCAAACGGGTGGGATGCCCCCGAAGGTTGGGCCCAGACAGCAGTAGCAGCACTGTCATCGCCAGCCTCCAGCTGGGCGGCGTGAAGAGAAACGGCCGCAGCGGCCTCTGCGAGCGGCGCCTGCGCTGCGACCCGAAACACCTTGGCGCTGAGGCGAAACTCCCCCTTGCAGAGCCGCTTGAGCACCTGCAGGGCATGGTCTGTGGCCACAGGCGGGCACGGCTGGCTGAGAGCTGCAACGCGAGAAACCGCACAGCTGCCACAACGCGCGCAGCCCACAACAGTGGGACCTTCACACAGCGCAATACGAACTAGGTCATGCTTGCGCGCTCCATCCCCTAGCTGCCTCTGCGCAGCCAGCACGCGTGACGCAATATCGGATGGGACGGGATTGCGCACAACGAAAAGCCGAGGGAGACGCGGCTTGCCACGATTGTGCCGCTTGGGGTGGCCACAATCTTCAAGCCCGTCGCTGAGCCGGCCAATCCAGTCTCCCCAGGTCTTGACAACCTTGGAGCGAGCCTGCAGCTGCGCGCGGCTCTGCCGCGGTACTCGCGCAAAGGCAGCAGCGCTCTTCGCAGCGCGGTCTGCCATCAGATTGCCAAGCCTGTGGCGCGCCGTGGCGCGCCCGTGCTGGATGTCACCTACGGCCGCATGACCTTTGACCTTCGAGAGCTCGAAACCGCCCCCCCAGTCATCCACCGAACGCCAGAACTCCCGCCATAGGTGAACATGCGCGGCAACACAGGCAGTAGTGGCCACGCGGCCACGTTCGTGGAAGCCATCCACGACAAAGGCTGAGTCCGAAAACATGCGCACTGGCGGCACCGCAAAGCGCAGCACATGAATGACTGCGATGAGTTCGGCAGCACTAATGCACTGCAAGGGGTCGAGCACGGGGCAAGAGCAAAAGGAAACAACCTGAAGGCAATCGGGGTGAAGCGCCACGCACCCCCAGCCCGCACTCGCGAGGCTGGGATACTCAGCTTCAAAAACCAATCCATCAGGGTAGATATCTCCCGTGAAGCTGTCAGGCCCTCCAAGCCCCCAGCACACGGGTCGCCCAGGCGGCGGCCTGACGAGCGCAGGAAACGGGACCAGACAGCGCTCAGCAAAGGCAAATCCAAAGACCAGGTCGCTTTCGACCCGAAGCGCTGGCAACAATGGATAATCGACACATTCCTGGAAGACATGGACACCAGCAACCATCACGTGGAGGCGTGTTCTCGCAACACGGGCGTCTACGTGGACTGGGATCGGGAGAAGGCCCTGTGCCAGGACGCCCAGAGGAAAAGAGAGGTCGCCAAAGGTGAAGGGCGCGGAGAGGACCAGGCACGCAGCTCTGGGCACAACGACAACTGGACCGGAAAGAGCCCTAGGCGCTGACCAGCCGGCGACCGGGCCTCCCCTCGCCGACGCAGCACGCTGCGACCGCTCCCACGCTCCCAGCAACGTGCGCCAAGTCCTGGTCCCACCCACTGCTGGCCACGCCCACCACCTGTTTCCCCGCCCCCCTCCCTCTTCACCTGGCTTGGGACCGTGCGCCCCCCTGCTCGCGCGACGCGACTGCCTTCCTGCGCCCCCGCAACTTGCGGCAAGGTCATGGTCCTACCCACCGCTGGCCACCCCCACCACCTGCGCCCCCTTCCCCCACCCTCTTCACCTGACTTGGGACCGCGCGTCCTCCTTTCCCCCCATACCTGTACCCCACAGCACTTGCGACGGGCACGGCCCACGCGCAGCGACCGCTTGCTGGCCCACCTGGTCTCCGACTGCACCTGCCCCCCCCCCTCCCCCCTCGCCTGTCTTTAACGTGTTCTGGGGCCGTGTGTCCTACCTGCACCCATCGGGGCCCATTCCCCCCGCGTGAGCACCTACGGCGCGGGCTGGCACGACGACGGCTGGCGTGGCGCGCCGACCTTTCTCCCCCCCGTTCGCCCCCCCCCCCCCCGCTCGCCCCCCCCCCCCCCCATGGCGGCAGCGCCCGGCACGGCGCGGCTTCGGCCCGGCGCCTGGCGCTGCACCATGCCACCTCGGCGGCCCTGCTCGCCGTGGCGCTGCGCGGCTCAGGCCCGGACCTCGGCAATGCGGATGTCAGCGCATCGTGCGCGGCTGCTGCCCGTCTCCACGCGCTGGCGGTGCAGGGCTGGTTTTCCCCCTGCGCTCCACCGACATCCTGTCGGTCTTGCACGGCCCCCTCGTCCGCGGCCGCGCCTCAAGCAGGCCACTACCTGGGCACGGATTGGACTACCACCCTGGGCCTCTTCCGCATCACCCGGCGGCGCAACGTTGCACATCGCCTTCGTGGTGCTCTTGTTTTTCTTCTTCCTGGGCATCCTCCGCATCATCCGGTGGCACAACGTTGCTCATCGCCTTCGTGGTGCTCTTCTCCCTCCTGGGCGTCGACCTGGTCAAGTGGCGCGTCCTCCTCCGCAGTGCTTGAGGCTCGCGTTCGCGACGTGCCGTTGACAGCTACACCATCTCCTTCGCCTTCCGGGCCTTCGCCCCCGGCCCTCGTCCGCGGCGCACCTTCTCCTGCGCGAGCTCTTCGGCGCCGCCTGCGCCCCGGGCCCCACCTGCTCGGGCCGCCCGAGGCCTCGCCTTCCTGCGTAATTAAAGCTGCGCGTAGCCCGCCTAGCTTTTAGCGGAAGAGGTTCGCTCTCGCCCCGCAGACCAAAAAAGTGTCGGAAGCGCATGTGTGCCAGTCTGCAGCCCAGCACCAGTCGCAGCCCTCCGTCCTTCTCCCCCACGAAGAAGGGCGCGATCGTGTCCGCCACCGAAGGCAGCGGCGCCAGGATGTTGACGTCTGCCAATCGCATCAAAAAGTCGACGTAGACAACCCGGTCGGAACATAGCACCGAATCAAAATAAGGGCGACCAGGACCGCCTTCGCGGCGTTGCAGAAAGACGTCGTCGTCAGCCGTTAGGGCCGTCTCGTAGTCGACCAAAAGCCTTGCAGCATCGTTGTCCAAAACCGTGGCCATCGGAACAGACGACCGCCCTGAGAGAAAGTAGATCAGGCCGGTAAGGTCGAACAGGAGAGTCCGCACCAGCGTAGTCGGCGGCCGTGCCCAGAAGCCGACGAGCGGCTTCACGGGACGGCTCAGCGAGCCGATCAGCAAACTCATGCCAAGCCTGCCGCTACGCACGAAGCTCTCTCCGCTGCGTTGCATCCTGCGCCGGAGTCACCGCACCCTCGTGCTCGCGCTCGCAGCCGCAGATCGCGCTCAGAGCCTGGATGCAGTGACTCGCACCTGCCGCGGCAGCCTGGCGGAGGCATCTGCGGCGCTGCACAGTCCTGGCTTGGCCGTCGCCGCTTTTCAATGGGGCATTTGCCCTAATGAGTGGCAATGGAAAAACTCGCCTCTGCCTCCTGAGCGGCGCTGACCAGCATCATCCCCTCCAGGGCGAGGGGCATCGGGCCAACCGGCAGCGCCAGAGGGAGGGCGACCAGCGACCTGCGCCACGGGGCGGCGGACGGGGACTTGAAGGTGGCGAGGCAGCTGCGCTAGGTGGGGATCGAGCCCCGCCGCCTCGGCTCGCGCGAGCGGTCAGTCCTTCTCCTTGGTCCCGTTGGGGCCTGGCTTTTTCGCCTCCTTCGCCTTGCGGCGCTCATCATCGATGGCGGCCTCCCTCGATAATTCCGCCACCACGTGTGCCCGCGGCGACGGTGCCGCCAGCGCGCCTGGCGACACCTCGTCCTCCCCGATGAAGTGGCGCGCGCCCTCGAAGTCCGCCTTCTCGGGGTCCTTCGCGTGGGCCTCCTCCAGCAGCTGCCGGCGTCGGTTCAGGTACTCCATCGAAGTGAGGTTGGCGAGGTTGAAGCCGTCGGTCGACACCGCGAGCTCGAGGGCCTTCGAGATCACCCTGTGATCGTGCGCCGATCGCGACCCCGCGCCCACGCGCGACTCGACGAGCCAGCGCTCGTGGGATGCCAAGGACCCACCTGGAGCCCGCGACTGCAGCCCAGTGACCGCGTCGCCCATCGTTGGGGGGCCCCGCAGGCGGATCGGCACGCTCGGGTCGCGCACCAGCAGGCTGGCGTCGGCCAGAAAGGGCGCGGCCTCGGCGCCGTGCGCCCGGGCTAGCAACCGCGGCTCGCCTCGCTGGAGGAGGGCCTGTCGTTCGCGGGCCCAGGCGTCGATGTCCGCGCGCCTCGAGCCGCGTCACCGTGCTGAACTCGCCCGCGACGGCCACCACGGAGCGGCCGCCGAAATCGAGCGCCGCAGGTGACAGCGCCACCTCCTGCCCGACCACGCGGCTCTTGCCGGGCACGTCCAGCACCCACGTGCCACCAGCGCCAGCACGGCGCGGGGGCGGCGGCGGCGGGGCCGCCGCGCCGGGGGCGGCCGGCGCCGGGGGCGCGGGCAGCGGCAGCGGCACTGCGGTATGGGCGATGCCTCCCACGCCGCCTGCGGCGGCCGCGCCCGCGGGCTGGGCCAGCCCTCGCGCTTGCCGCTCCACGATCACCGCCGAGGCCCCCTCGGCCAGCAACGCCGCGAGCTCGGCCAGCGCGGGCGCCACGGCGAAGCGGTGCACCTGGCCGCCCGTCAGGCCCACGGGGAGCCCCCCGCCCGATGGGCCGAAACGCAACCCGCTGAGGTCCGCGCTCGCGATGCCCAACTGCTCTATGAACGTGTCGTAGTCCGGCGTCGCCACCACATAGCGGCTGGCGGCTGGCGGTGACCCAGGCCAAGATCAGCCTCTCGTGCCATAACTCGCCCCCCCGGCTCGAGCGCCGCCATCAGGCGGCGACGACGACCCCGCCGCCGCGCGGCACCACGCGCCGCCGAGCACCCGCGTCAGCCCCTCCCGCGCCGGGCGCCTCGGCGGCCGCCACGGGCGCAGGCAGCGGCGGCGGGGCCGCGAGGGGCAGCCCAGAAGGCGCCCTGGCCAGCGCCACACGCGCCGGGGACCGCGCCTGCCGGGCCGCCAGGCCGCAGGCTGCTAGCCCGGTCAGCAGGCCCCCCGCCAGGAAGCCCCAGAGCGCCGGCGACGCTGGCGAGCAAGGCGGGCAAGGCTCCGGCACCGGAGGCGGCGGGCACGGGCGCTGCAGGTTCTCGGGCCCGCAGCGGTCGAGCTGCTTCTCCAGCAGCTCGAGGGCGCCGGGACTGTCGGCCCGGCTCCAGCGGCAGTGGCACGGGCGCGCAAGCCCCGCGAGCCACGACCCAGCCGCCGCCGCGCCCGCCGCGGTCCACGGGTCGGCCACGCAAGCCGACGCTGAAGCCAGGATTGTGGACTTGAAGCCAAAAAAGCAACAGATGCACCGGTGCCCTTTTGCATTCGGCACGCAGAGAAAATAAGGCACTGGGCACGGAAGACACCCACCCACCCCTAACAGCATACACGTGCAAGGACTGGCTATGTATATGGATGTGCGTATACATGCATGTATGTATGCATGGTTGTATGGATGTATGTACGTATGATTGTGTGTATGTTTAGGTGTGGTTGTATGTATGGATGTGCGTGTGTATGTGTGTCTGTATGTATGTATGCATGCATGCATGTATGTATGTATGTATGGATGGATGGATGGATGGATGGAAGGATGTGTGTATGTATGTATGTATGCATACATGCATGCATGCATGCATGTATGTATGTATGTATGTCCGTCTGCCTGTCTGTATGTGTGTATGTAAGTATGTATGTGTGTATGTGGATTTGGATGTATGTGTGTATGTGTGTCTATGTATGTATGGGTGCATGCCTGTATGCATGTATGTATGTTTGTATGTATGTATGTGTGGTTGTATGTACGTGTGTGTATATGTATGTATGTGAGTATTGCGGAGAGGGGCCGCGTGGCTTGACCTCACGCGTTTTTTTTACGCGGCGCTACGCGGGCATTTACGCAGGGTGCTGTTCTCAAGACGACTGTGCCCGTAGTTAGTGGTAGGGCTACGACTCCTCAGGAACGGCCGCGCGGCCTGACCTTGCGCGATTCTCACGCGGCGTTGCGCAAGCACTCGCGCAGGGCCGTGCTCTCAGGACGATGCCTGTTCCTATTTTTATACAAGGGCAAAGACATATCTTCTGTCGTGCTGCCGCCCGGGGACGAAGTGCAGGTCCCATGGCGGCTCACAAAAAATGTGATATATCGCCCAGCGGGTCCCGCACCCAGCCTTGGTCGTAGAGGTCGTCCGTGCACCCTCGACTGGCCTTGTCCACCGGGTTGTCGTGGGTATTGACATACTCGACCCACAAATGCAGTCGTCGCCGGTGGACAATCTTCCACGTGGCGTGCATCGCGTTGTTCAGATCTGCGTCCACGCTGTTGCCTTTGATCGGCGCGTGCATGGCGTCCGTGTTGTCTATGAAGTGGATCCAGAGTCGATGCCCCAGGCCTGGCCACGTGGCTAAGGCAAGCAGTGGCCCCACACCTTCGATTGGAGCTATGGTGTTGGAGGCATGCCGCGCCCACTTCGCCAGCGCGTTCTCTGGGGCTCTCGTCGCAGTGATGCGGGGGCGTTCGGCTGGCTCTGCTGGTTGCCACATTGCCCCGGCGACGTTGCCCGAACCCTCCCCGTCGCTGATGGCGACGACCAGGGGCGGCAGGATATGTCGCACAGAACACGGCGCCGATTTTCATGGAGGAGTGCTTCTTCGAGCCACCTGAACATGGCGAGCATGACGCCGTTGACTCCGAAGTAGTTTCCGCTCCTCTGACGGCTCGCAGCGGCGCCAGCACTGCTGCTCCACACCGGCCCCAGAGGCTCGAGCGCACCCAGTTGAACGAGCCGTGCAGCGTCGAGGCGTCTGCTGCCGTCACCCCCCCCGTAGCTCGGCGGGCGCGGATCTGAGATAGCAGCTTGTCAATTTTGGCCTCGCAGAGCCAAACTGTCCCCTCCAGGCCCAACCGGTGCTCCACGCCAAGTAGGCGAAGGTGCTCGCTGGGTGGTTTGCTCTTGCTTTTGCCGCACCTCCAACCGATAAGGTCCACTATCTCCGACGCGAGAGCATGGGAGTGCTTGGCGGCTGTTCCGGCTCGATGTCCCGCATGTCATCAGAGCAATGGCAAAGCAAAATGCCCACGCACACTCTCACGAAATAAAATATGAAATGTGGATGTTCGACGAAGTTCGCCCGGGCAGCTTTGTTGCCGAAAGTCCCTCCCAGCGGCCTCGCCCACTGGACCCGCTCAAGTTGGGGATTCCACGCCAGTTCGTAATGGTATGGAGCACGTCCCGGCCATAACGGGTCTTGCCGGAACGCCATCTCCCAGTCGATGCGGAAGCCTTGGAGGCGCACGTTGCTGGGGAGGGTTTCTCTGAGGACGCGCACCACCGCGCGTGCCGATGATAAATCTTCAGGAGAATACTTCTCGCACAGCGTGACGGTGTCGTTTCCCCCAGATGCTTTCCAATCAGAAATTTATGTTACGACACTTCCACGCGCCGTCCTCCTCGACCTCCCACTTGGGCCACCGGGGAGTCAGGCATGTCCTATCCAGGTCAAGTTATGCGAGCTCGCCTGGCCCTTCGCAGTGCCCCATCGAAAGCTCAGCTAAGGTTTTTTTCCCCCCACGCCTTCTGGTCGAGCGAACTGCCCCCCGAACTTCGCATGCCTCGGATCATGCGCTCGTTCCGCTCTCGCGGACACGCAATCCAATCTTCGATCGCAATCGCGCCCCTGTTGTGGTCCTCGCTGAACACGCCGCTCGGCGGGATCTCTCCCAGGCAAGGCTTGCCGCGCATCAGCCGGGCGACGTAATCGGCGCCGCTGTACTTGGCGTGTTCCACCATCCACTCCAGGAGGGGTAAATGCAGGTGGCCGATTACTTTGTGGACGTCGGGGTGTATTTTTTTCTGCATACTGCTCTCTGATGCCTGTCAGGCGCCGAGCAGCATCACGGACGGGTGGCATCTGCGTCTCTCGCCAGCTGTGTAAATCATCCAGGTGGCCCAGCATACTGCTGGCGGCCTGCATCCACGCGGCAGGCATCGGCGGGGGAGCAACAGCCGGGTGCTGCAGACGAGGCAATTGCTCGAGGAACGCCTCGGGCCCGCATCCTTGCTGGATAAGCGGCTCCAAGCATCTGCCACGCGGCTGCTCGCCAAGCGCCAGCGCGCGCCCGATCTGGGCCCTCAGTCGGCGCCTGCTGGGCTGCTCAATGACGCCTGCCTGTGGGCTGTCGCTGACCGTTCTCTGCAAGCGGGCCCCGGCACCTTGCGCGGAATGATTCCGGCCTGGGTGATCACCGAGGCTGTCATTAGACTCCACGCATGGGCTGGGCAAGTCTGGCCCGCCCGCCGCGGCCCCATTGCAGCGTCTGGGGCCCGGCTCCGCAGTTCGCTGCGGGCCCGCGCAGCGGTTCTTGGCCCTGCAGCGTTTGGCGCCGCACCCAGGGTAGTCACACTCGTGTGAGTCTGGGCACGCCGCGCCCTTCCGGCAGCCCGTGGCCACGTTGTAGAACGGGCGCCGGGGCTGCCCAGTCTTCTTGTTCGTGCGCTCCAGTCCCGGCCAGTTCTCCTTGGTGAAGGCAGGGGGCTGGCTGGCCCCGGCGGCGCCGCCTGGCTTTGAAGCCTTGAGCGGCTGCTCGTCTCGGGGAGTCTGGGCGCCCTGGCCGCGGCCGCGGGCGCGCCCTCGCGGTTGCGACTCGCCCCTGGGCCGCCCCCTGTCCCCGGCGTCTGAGAACAGGTAGGCGCTCTGGCCGCGGTGGTGGGCAATCACGCCCTTGAAAGTCGTGAACTCCCTCCGCTGCCAGCTCAACATCCACTCGGTGTGCATGCGGAAGTCGGCCTCGAGGAAATCGCGCACGATCTCCGGCGACCACTTGACGTCCATGATCTTCTCCATGAGCCACTGGTGATACTCGAGCAGGACGGTGAGCGACGCGTTCTCGAACTCGGGGGCGGCCGCCTGGTTGTAGGCGATCATCAGCTGGAAGTGCCGCCCGCGGAACTTGGTCAAGCCCTGAACCGGCGCGCAGGCGCTCTCGGCTTGGGCCTGCACCCCGCCCTGCTTGGAAAAGAACATCTTGAACAGCGGGTCGACCTCCTTCTCGAGGATGCTCTTGACGCCCACCTCGAGGCGGGGGAGGAAGTCCGCGCGTTCCTCGTACATCCGCTTGAGCTTGCCCATGAGCCCGTTGGCCGGGAGCCACTGCGCGGGCCAGACGAAGTGGTCGTACTCCTTTACCTGCGCATCCAAGCGTTCGCGCTGCTCTGTGTCCAGGGATATGTCCTTCTCGGCGCTGTCGCCTGTGGCTGCGGCCTCCAGCTTGGCCTGCGCCTCGGCCTCCGCCTGCCGCCACGCCGACTTCAACAGCTGGGACGCGATGCCGTCGTTGGGGTCTAAGCCCGCTGGTTGGCCGACGACTTGCGCGACGTTGGACATTGAATCCGCTTAAGTCGGCGAAGGCGCCGAGCTTGACGATGTTCTTGTCCACGAGAAACTTGGCGACGTTCTCGGGGGCGTCGCTGCCCGCCAGCACGTCGCGCAGCTCGGCGGACAAGGCCTTGGCGACCTCTGCGCTGTAGGAGACCGGCATCGCCCCGGCGGGGGGAGGCAGACGGGGCCCCGGCTGCAGCTCGCGGCGTTAGCTCTTGAGCCTGTGCTGCGTGACGCTTGCCCATGGCCCCCCCTGCTGCCGTCGCGCGTTGGACGCACTGGCCGGGCCTGCCCGGCGTATAATTACTGCTTTAACGATAGGCAAAGAGCGGCCGCAACCCGACGAGGCGTGACACACTGGAGGAAAATGACGCACAACAACAGATCGAGCGCCAGTCGCCCCTCGCACCGCCGGCGGAAACTCTCATCGGGAAGGCGGATCGACGCTGAAGGTCGCTGCTGCTCGGGAAGGGGGAGCCTCCTGATCAGCGGCAAGGTCTGCGCCCAGCTGCGGCAACAGCGCGCCTCAGGGAGGCGCAAACAGGCCAGGCTTCAGCCGGGCTCCTCCCTTCACTTGTTGTTATATTGCGAGCAGCGGCCCCCCCTCGTGGCGCTGGCGGGCACCCGCGCGAACCTTCGCTGAAAGCCACTGTTGCCCCTGTGAGGGGGCATGTCTCTGACCAGCTGTAAGATCTGCGCCCAGCCGCGGCAACAAGGCGCCTCTGGGAGGCAGAGTCAAGCCAGGCATGATGCAGATTTCCTTCCTCTTGTTTGATAGTCATCAAAAATATCGGGCGCCACGCGCCCCTCGCACCGCCGGCGGAATCTCTCTCACGGGAAGACGGATCGGCGCCGCAGCCGTCGCTGCCTGGAGGGGCGTCCAGCCGCGGCACAGTGCGCCTCAGGGAGGCACAGACAGGCCAGGCTTCAGCCGGGCTCCTCCTTTCATCTTTCTCGAGCGATGGTCTTCCCTCGTGGCGCTGCCGGAGCATCTGCGCGAACTGTCGCTGGGGGCCATTGTTGCCCCTGTAAGGGAGCATGCCTCTGATCAGCTTTAAGATCTGCGCCCAGCGGTGGCAACGAGGCGCCTCTGGGAGGCTCAAGAGGGCCCGGCTTGAGCCACGCTCCTCCTTTTTACTCGTAATTTCAAATTTCATATTGCACGAGATGACTCTCTTTTTTTGTTCTCCTCTCGGTCGCCACCTGGTCATCGCCACGCGGGCGCGCTGGATCTTGGCTGCGCGAAATCATGGGCCCGGCTGCGCTGTCGCGCTCGACCCGAACGAGCTCCTGGAAGAGCTGCCGCTGCTGAATCAGCACTGCTGCGCGCTGAGCGCGGCGCGCCCAGGTCTGCCCATTCTAGTCTCTCCACGCCGCTGGTCCTGAAACACCTGTCGCAGCGCGGGTACAGATGCAAATTTGACTGGTCCTCCGCCGCCTGTTCGTAGCGAGGTAAGGTTGGATCCCGTACCTGTTTGCACGGCGGGTCCTTGTGCAGCATTCCTGTCTTGTGGTTGATCAGCACGCGGACCGGCGGCTGCTCTGGCGGTTGCGGAGCCAGGGCCCCGGGTGCGTGAGCCGCTGCTCGCTGCTTTGCTGCGTGCGCTCTCGCCCTTAGCTCTGTCGCCACCTCGTCTACCATCGGCAACTCGTAGTCGCCGCACGGGCGTAGTTTTTGCCGCTCTCGTTCCTTTGCAGCGAGCTCGGCGCAGCAGCGGCTCTGGTCGTAGCGGATGGGCATGCCGCTCGCGGGGCCCCATCGGCCCATGCCGCGCCTTTCTTCGAGGGCGAAGCCGGCCTGGCCTGCCATGCCGCAAATGGAGAAACGTGGGCTGTGCAGCGCGTAGTGGGCTGTGTGCCCTGCCAGGCGGCGCACGGCTGCCATCGCCATCAGGCAGTTGGCATAGCTACCGTGGCGCACAGGGGTGACGAACTCCAAGGCACCGTTCGCTAACGCCATCGACGGCCAGATCCAGCCCCTCGCGGAGTCTGCGCTTTGCGGGAGGACCCCGTTGGCATGGCTGAAGAAAACTTTGCCCGAGTCAACGCCAGTCCAAGTCACCCGCAAAGCGGCCCAGGGCACCGGCGCAGGTTTGCCTTTCGAGCGCCAGCACACAGCGCGCAGCGCGTCACGCCCCAGGCTGACGCCCGCGCCCCTGCCCAGGTCGCTGAACCGCAGGCACGCGAAGGCCAGCCACAACAGGAACAGGATGGCGTAGGCGGTCGCGCCCTGGTCGTCTTCGCGCGCGCTCAGCAGGGCTAGCAGGCCCACCACGGCCTGGTATGTGCACGGTGTCGCCTGTAAGCGGGCTGCGCTTGCATCTCTGTATGACACGTTGGCAACGGCCTGCACGGCTGCGTCTCGCAGCGCCCACGGGAGCACCAAGGCAGCGCGTACCCGGTCCAAGCCGTTTAGGAGCATGCGCGGGACGCCGTTCCGACCGACGCCTGAACCCCGTAGAAAATATGCTATTTCTAGCGGCGTGGGCCTCCACGGGGTCTAGGCCTTTGCTTTCAGACCAGCTCCTGAGGCGGCAGACGGCCCGAATGCGCCCCATAAGTGTAAAGGAATTTTGGCCTTTTGTAGGAACAACATCCTTAGTAGGCTGCGTCGCTCGGCCTCTGGAGGCGCGCTTCCTTCGATCTGCCGCAATCTGGCCGACGCCATGCCGATGTCGTCGGCTAGGGCAAAAGCGAGCTGCAGCGCGTTTCCCAGCTTGCTCTTTTCCACGTCTGCTGCGGAAACAGAGAGCGGCACCGCTGCTGGAATGGCTCGGCGCCGCTCGCCTGGTCTCGGAAGCACGGCGCTTGTTTCCGCCCATTTGGTCGTTCTCGTCGTGGGAGTTTCCCTTGGGGGCGGAGAGCGTTTCCGTGCTATGTATGCGATCTGGGCCAAGGCCGCTACGATGCTGTCGGCCTCGGCGCTGGCTGTTTGCCACAGCTCTGACGCGTGCGCTTGCAGCTCCTCGTCGAGGAGGCCTGTCGCTGTAGTCATGAACTCCTCCTCCTCGCTGTCCCAGAAAACGGTTGCCGTCAGGATGCTGCACATGTGTAGCGCCGTAGCCATGCGGGCAACAGTGTTCGGATGAGTTCTCCGCTTTGCAGCCGCAGTGTGTACCACCCGACACATGCGAGGCGATAGTGCTTCCAGGCAGGCAGGCGCACCCTAGCTCGCTATTGTCGTAGAGGCGGTGCTGCGGGCGGTGGTGGGCAGAAAGCCGCCGTGCTCGCTAGAGGCTCGAGGCCTTGAGGCTCGCGTTCGAGCCACGCCTGAGCACAAATAGCTACGGAAAGGCAGCGGGTGCAGCCGGCCAGCCGGCACTGTCTGTCATTACAGTGGAGCCTCGGATCTCGTCTGCCTGACCCTACGCGGTTGCTTACACATCCTCAGCGGGCATTTGCGCGAGGGCGTGGGGTTCGCGCTGCCTGGCAGGGGGCATCTAAGATCCTTGCGTAGAGTTCCCCCCCGGCCTCTCGAAGATTCATCCCTCCCAAGCCGTCCCCTCCAACCATAGTGGTAGGGTCAAATGTATGCGTGTATACATGTATGCATGTACGGAGTAATGAATATAAACATGTGTATGTGTGGGTGTGTGCATGTACAGATGTGTATGTATGTATGCATACATGCATGCATGTAGTCATGTATGTATGTATGCATGTATGTATGCATGCATGCCTGTATGTATGTATGTATGTGCGTACGTACGTAAGTACGTACGTACGTACGTACGTATGTATGTATGTATGTAGGTAGGTAGGTAGGTAGGTAGGTAGGTAGGTAGGTGTGTATGTATGTATGTATGTATGTATGTATGTATGCATGCGTGTATGCATGCATACATACATACATGCATACATACACATGTGGTTTTATAATTATCTCTCTCTCTCTCGCGCGCGCGCTCTCTCCTCTCGCTCTCTCTCTCTCTCTCTCTCTCTCTCTCTCTATCACTCTCGCTCTCTCTCTCTCTCTCTTGTTCTCTATCGTTCTCTCCTCTCTCTCTCGTTCTCTCTCTCAGTCTCCCTCTCTCTCTCTCTCTCTCACTCCCCCCCCATACACACACACACACACACACATCAATCTCCCCCAATATCCTCAGAACCCGTTCCCCCCCCCTTCCCCCCCCCCTCGTCCTCCGTGCGCGTCCGAGGCCATGGCGGCACCGTCTCTGACTCCGCTGGCGGCGAGGGCGCGGTTTCTGCCTCTTCTGCCGCCGCCTGTTCGACTTCGGGCGACTCTGTCATCGGCAGCCTGCGGCCATCCCGCCGCAAGCCCCTCATCCTCATTATCCTTCTCCCCCTCTATCCACCACCAACTCCTCCTCATCCTCCTCCTCCTCCTCCTCCTCCTCCACCTCCTCCTCCTCCTCCTCCTGCCTCCTCCTCCTCCTCCTCCTCCTCCTCCTCCTCCTCCTCCTCCTCCACCCCCTTACCTGTCTCAATTAGCATCTCTCCTCGCGTTGCTCATCCTCGTCCTGCGCCCCCCTCCGTTTTCCTTGAAGAAAACTCCGCCCCGTCGCACCCCACGATGTGTCGGTTGTGCGGGCGGGGCGTTCCGCCTGAGACGTCACCATCACGTGTGATACTGCAGCTTGGAGATCGTAACAGTTACATGGACGGAGAGGGTCTTCTTCCAAACGGGGTTCTCGCCGTAGCGCTGCGCATGCTCGCCTTGAAAAGTGCAACACCTACGACGATGAAGGGGGGTCAAAATGGAGCCATCGCTACAACACCGCGAGCATTCGCCCCAAACGCTTGCAACCGTTACAAAAAGCCGGGGGCGATTCCATTTCAAAACACAAAACAGGGTACTCGTTTAAGACTTCCGTAAACGTGAAAATCAAACACCTTCACTAGATGGGATCCTTTGCAACATTGGATTATCACTCGGGGCACCCTCGAAATCCATGGCCAGACGCGCAAGCGTGTGCAACAGTTGTGCGGGCAGGTGGTCCGTTTTCAAAACGGGGATCTCGCTGGACACCTCGCTGAACTGTGTAAGCATACATATGCACAGTCATGGATAAGCGCTGGAAGGGTGCAAGGCAGTACGTCTTCAAAGGGGGCTCTCGCCTAAACAGCAGGCACATCGAGTGCTGGTCGTTCAATGGGACCGTTCCTCCTCCTCCTCCTCCTCCTCCTCCTCCTCCTCCTCCTCCTCCTCCTCCTCCTCCTCCTCCTCCTCCTCCTCTTCATCCTTCCCCCCCCTCCGCCTTCAACAGGTTCTTCTCGAACCGATCCTCCGCTGCCGCCTCCTCTACCTGCTTCGATGGACTGGGGGGAACAGGAAGGAGGGGGCGGCGGGCAACGTCCCTCCCTCATCTACCCCCAACCCACCCGTCTCTAGCTCCTCCGTTAATCGAGCCCCGTCCTCGCAATTCTTAGCCTCCGTCCACTGCACTGGCTTCCCCAGGCGCTCCTGCAAACAAACGGTGCGCCGATGATCCGCGGCGCAGAATCTAAAGAGGTTGGGCCGGAACCGCGAATGAGACGCAGTGGCCTGAGCCAAGTACCTGCAAGCGGACCTGAGGCAGACTGGCACGCGCAACCGATTCCGAAAAGGCGTGGGTGGACGAGGAACAAGCTCAAATCCCACCAGCCCCCCTGGACGTAAGTGGCTTAATGCGTTTCTGTTTCCATGCCCCTCCTTCTCCTTCGGAGAAGGGTTTACCCTCTAACCCCTTCCCGTGGACCTGGACGGGAGGTTCCGCGAGGGGTTGAAGCGACCAACATGGCCTCGGCGAAGAAGCCAAAATCACTCATGTGACTAAGGTTTGGGCCACAGTCTGACCTCCTAGGGGCGGGGGGGCGGGGGGGCGACGCTAATTAAAGAGCTCCTCTCTTTTGATCGATCTCATCCAAGATGGCCCCAAGACGGCACCCAAGAGCCAAGACGGCCCCGAGAGGTGCTCAGGAGGCCCCGAGCGGTTCCCAAGAGGCCCTCAAGATGTCCCCAAGAGGCTCCCAAGACGCCCTAGGGGCCCACCCAGGGGCACCCAAGACGCCCCAAGAGGCCTCGGCGAGAAGGCCAACCTCACTGGCTGTAGCGAGGTGTTGGCCACAGTTTGGCATCTGGGAGAGGGGGGGAGCGACCCTAATTAAGGAGCCCCCCTCCTTTGATCGATCTCCTCCAAGATGGCCCCAAAAGAGCCCCCCGAGGCTCCCAATGGTGCCCCAAGACGGCCCCGAGAGGGGAGGCCCCCAAGAGGCCCCCGAGACGCCCCCAAGAGGCCCCCAAGAGACCCGCAAGAGGCCCGAAGAGGCCACCCAGAGGCACCCAAGAAGCCCCAAGAGGCCCTCAGGACTGCCAAAAGACCCCGACGACACCCCAAGAGGATTCCAAGAAACTCTTGGAAGAAATCCGAAGAGACTCCGAGAGGCATCCAAGAGGCTTCCTCCTCCTCCTCCTCCTCCTCCTCCTCCTCCTCCTCCTCCTCCTCCTCCTCCTCCTCTTCCTCCTCCTCCTCCTCCTCCTCCTCCTCCTCCTCCCCCTCCTCCTCCTCCTCCTCCTCCTCCTCCTCATCCTCCTCATCCTTCTCACTCGAAAAGCCCAGGGGCACCCGACTGGGTCCCCACCACCGTCACCACAGGGGGCCCCTGGGCGTTGAGATTATGGTCCCAGGTTCCTAAGTACCGAGAGCGCCCCCCACCAGATACAGCCTCTTAGAGGACTGGCCCCGTGGCATGCCGCCTCCGAGCGCTAACTGTACTGAGTGACTGAATTAAAAGAAACATGCATACAGGGGCGGCCTGGCAAGGGCGACAGGGGAAAGAGAGGAAGAGGAAGAAGGGGCGTCGGGCGGGCGGCGGTCGAAGTGGTCGTCCTGGCGGTCGTGGAAGTCGGTGTGGTGGTGGCAGTCGTCGTAGTCGGGATGGTGGTGGCTGCCGCCGGCGCCGCGGAAGCTGTGGCGGTTGTCGTGGTGCTGTCGCCGAAGAAGCAGTGGTTGTGAAGGGCGCGAAGGTGCCGTGGTCGGACGGGTCGTGCTGAGCGGTGCTGGAAGCGGGTATCCGGCATAGGCCCACGGGTGTGAGCGACCAGGCCCCTGTGTTAGGCGTGGGGGCCAGGCGTGGCGACCGCCTTAGGCGGCGCTCAAGAGCGTGCGCGCCACCTCCCGGACCACGCATGCGGAGATGGTCCGGAGCAGGGTGCTCTTCTGGCAGTTCCTCCTCCGCCAATTCCTCCTCCTTCCTCCTCCCTCCTCCCTCTCCCCTTCTCCCTACTCCACGTCCCCATCCTTTTCCTGCTCCTCCGACTCCTCCTCCTCCATCTTCCCCCTCCTGGGATACGACGTATGCCCCAGCCCTTAATTCCACCGCATGTTCCTCCACATCCCTGATCAGGGCAACTCATCTGGGCATCGCTTCTGGATGGGCAGGTGGGGTTGTTTTTTTGTTGGTCGCGGCCGCGCAGCTGAGGGCAGGCAGCGAAAGGGGGTCCGAGGCACGGGCCAGCCTAATGAGCTACTAGGCGCAACGCAAGCCGGCCGGCCAGCACTCAGAAGCGGCAGCTGGAAAGCAGCGGCGGCAAGGGGCTGACTGGCTGAACTGCAACGCCCAGGGAAGCTCATGCATTGAGCAGACCTGTGGCAAAGCGCCTTAGAATTACGAACTGAACGCCGCGGCGCCAGTCCACCACGGTGTAGGTGCCACGCCGCGTCTGAGAGTGTCCTGCAAGCACGATCCGCACAAACACTGTAGCAAGTGAAGGCCAGGTACAGACTGGTCATGTCGCCAGAGGGCGCCAAAGGCCAGGGCAGTGTCAACGGCATGGACATGCCTGGTAGGCTGGGACGGGTGGAGGATGGAGGCATAGCGTCTGCAGGAAGGCTGGACCACTCCGCGACGCCGCACGAGTACCCCGTGGTAGACGCCAGTCCCGAGCAACAAATAGGATGGAACCGGCCCGGAATGCGACTGCACCTGGGGGCCCGGCCCATGGTGACGACGTGAGCGCCGTAGAGAGTCGCGTACTGCGCGGACGCAGGTGGGGTTGTTTTTTTGACTGGCGGCTCCAAGGACAGCTCCAGAGAGCGGGACGGTCTCGGCTGGGGCACAGGGCGAGAT